CATCAACGATAATAACCAGGACATTGGTAATAACAAACAGGATATCGATAATAAAAAACAAGAACCCGATGATAGCAAGGTTATAGTCAATACAAATCAGATTATCATTGACATTGTCAAGGAGTCGGAGATATCCCGCTTCTGATCCAAGGCGTGTTCCTCTAATAACGAGGATTATGGTATTCAACGAAGATCATCATCGTACTGCATGGACATCTTTCAAGTTGTCGCTGAAGTTCATGCACCTTGTATAACAGAAACTCTTGTGTGATCGATCAAGATGGATACCAGACATGTTCCAGGAAGATTCAGTGGTGTTTGCTCCATATAATATTTATACATTAGCTAATTAATAATTCTCTGTTTCTGCTGTTATTTCATATCCTTTTAATACAGATACTTATATCATTATTTTCTTATTAAAAATATTTATTTTTAATATATTGTTCTATTTTTTTGCCATCTTAATTTTATTATGTTGAATCTTATTTCATTCTTTATTTTATTTCTTTTATATTGCTTTATTTCCAATAATTTTGTTGTTGAGAATCTGAATTAATTAACTCAGTTAATTTCGCAGTCGCAGAAAGTAATTAAACAAATTATTTTTGAGATTGATCAAGAATTTTTAAAATTATGTTATGAAATCATACGAGAACTAAAAGACTTACATAAATATATTGTCAATCTGACCTGTGCAAGAATTATATGTTTAATCCTTTTTTAAAGATGTTATCCAAAAATAATTTTTTTATAACTCAAAATGTGATACATACAACTTTTTAATATTTAAAATTAATATATCAGCTATGTGTTAATATACAGACTATAATATTTTGTTTTTAAATCTATCTAATTTCTTAAATACCTCCCTTTAAATTATTATTTTAAAGTCTTAAAAACATCTTTTGAAAATTACAATGTTGTAAATATATAAAACTTTTGGTCAAGATTTCTTATCTTTATAGCACTTATTAAACATATTTTCAAAAGTACGTTTAAGACTTTAAAAATAATCTGTATAATTTTTTTATTCTTGGCGACAGTAAATCTTTACATTAGGGAACACCGCCGCTAACCTTCACCTTGGCATATATTATAGAAGTGATCAACTTTTAAATTAATGGGTAGTTTCTTATAGTTTCTGAGATATTAGAGTTAACGTGTAATTTATAATTTTAGGAGGAAATTTTTTTAGTAAATCTGCATTAAGGAAAGTTATCCAGATGTTTAATTAGTTTTGAAAAAAAGTAACGATAAATTATAGTATCCTATCTCCTGTTAACTAAAACGAGTGTCGAAAAATTTATTAGAAGAATACAGTCGAAGTCCACTCCAAAAATGCATTTAAATGACATTTCTTCGTAATTTTTTTTACTTTTTGGGTTTTTCTACATGTGTACGTGTGAGTAATATACGTAAGATATGAACTTTAACGATTAATATCTCGGTTCACGGGAGAAAACATTTTTACCACATTCGTTTCGTGCAAAATCATTTTGCAGCAACTTTTTGGAACTCTTGACTGCCGATATTGAGCCAATGTTGAGTCAATTAAACAATGTTGGCAATCTCTACGTGAGTATATGGATAGATAGCTTTTTCATGATAAATGATCCTCCAACCAAGTTTGATTATCATAACCAGATCACGCGTAACTACATATTGGTATAATTCACACATCAAGTAAATAAATCATATGGAACCATACATATATTTATCACACAAAAATAACTACGATGATGTAACTATATTGCTCGCAACTAAATATTTCTGGTTATATGAACCATATCGTTTTTTCCGTGTAATCGGTGTGTAATTATACATATATAAAATATTTTAAATAATTATGTATGAGCAATTTACATTTCTCCAAATTTGATTTTTTTTAAAGTAAATAACGCGAAAATTATGCGTTTAATTATTTTTTATGTTTTCACATTATTATTATTTATATTACACTAAAAAGTAAATTTACAAAAGAAAGAAAGGTGTATGAACATGTATGGACATATTTCATATATATAAAATATATTTGTTATCAATTTTATATTTAAAATATATACGTTTATGAATATTTAAACATGTTTATGTTTAAATATTTATATGTATATATTTATGCATGCAAAATTTTTTACCGGGAACATAGATCAAGTTCGACCTTTGTTTTAGCATCGTCTTTAGGTTGTCTTTTTGGCAAGACGAAAAGATCTAGCCTATATATCGAAGAAACAACTTAAAAACGACATCTTTTCGTCATTTTTCAATGGTTGTATTTTCAGCAAAGTGAAAAGTCACGACTAAGGCCCAGTTTTACAACTCACGGTTAACTCTTAACCGAGGTTCAACTCTTTCCAATTCTAAAATTGAAAAGAGATAATGAATAAGTTGAACTTCGGTTAAGATTTAACCATGAGTTGTGAAATTGGACCTAAAAGATATCTCTTCGTATTACTGAAAAAGCAACATGAAAAAGATCTTTCCACTACTTTGATAATTTTCATCATTCATCTGTAAGCAATACGCGGGATCACCACCGAACAGACATTGTGGAATTGTTTCTTGTGTTCGAAAATTATACAGGGTAGAATAAAAGAGGTGCAGCATTATGAGAAATTTATCCGTGTTCTAGTGAATATTAATATAATTTTTTGAAAACGAATCCTCAAAGAGGATTTTGATGAAAAATGATAGCTCTTGCACATGACACAGTAAGCATTACAGGATCTATAAATGGGATACATATATTGATAGTTATACAATTTCGTTTAGTTTTGTGTGAAAATTAATTCATGGATTTGATATTAAATGTTACATGTGCCAAAATATAAAAACTAAAAACAGGCTTAAAGATGACTAAAAGATACTTGCAAAAATTATCTTTATTATAAATAAATATAATAAAACTATAATAAATGGATAAAATTATAAAGAGAGCTTTTCAGCAGAGGTACAAATCGACACAAGAGTCATTTTTTTTTGTTTCTTGCTGATTATCGAATAAGGATAGGATGACTCTTGTGTCAATTTGTGTATCTTGCTGGAAAATTCCTATTGATGATTAAAGGGTCCTCTACATAGAAGTCGTAGATGGTCGTGGAGTCTTAAGTCGTAGGAAACCAACCAATCACAATCAAATATAAAGAGAATACTCGATTGGAATTGGTCAGTTTCCTATGACTTAAGACTCCACGACCGTCTACGACTTCTATGTAGAGGACCCTTAACAGTGCAACATCTTTAGTCATTTTTTTGACGATCATATTTTTTCACTAAAAGATATCTTTATAACAATTTAGTCCTCTTGTAGTCATCTTTCAGATAACTTTATGCTCTCTCTCTCTCTCTCTCTCTCTCCCCCTCTCTCTCTCAAAATTAAATTCTCTCTTTTATAAAATTATTTTACAATTACAATATTACCCCCCCTTGGAGAAAAATTTTCTTTTATATTTTTCTTAAAGAGTAAGTTTTAAGATTACCTTAAACAAAAGTTTAAACTGCCCAAATTAAAAAATCTTACAAAAATGTTACAATTCGAGTTGTAAATTAAACATAAATTAAGCGGATCATTTCTTGTTCCTGAAACGTTATAAAAACATTTCTGGAACTAAAGTTGTAACATCGAAAGCAAGTTTTATAAATGTCGCAGAAACGTTGCAAATGTGACGTCGCATATGTAAGATAATCGACTTAGGACATTTCTGGTTCTTATGACATTACCAAAATATTTATATGACAAAACGTAAACCGTTGGTTATAATGCAACGTTACAAAAACGTTGTTATATAATTTTGTTTAGCGGATAGACAATGAGTTTTATATTCAATGTCATATTTTAAACATTATTCAACACCAACCAAAAATTAAATTCCAGATTTTTCTTTAATTTATAGATTAAAGAGAGATGCAGATAAAAATTAATGTTGCAACTCGCAATACTAATAAAACTAATAATATACTAGCATTATAATTAAAAAATATCGCTAATAGCTAATAATGAATCTTTTAACGCAACTATAAATTCTTTTTCACAAATTTATCCAGATAGTACAACTTATCCATTTGACAATATTAAATATTAACAATATATTTATATTTTTAGACCGTATATGTGAGAAACACAATCAATACAAGAAATTTAAATGCCTATTACGGTCGGAGCTGGATCTTCGTTGCTTTAAATAATTCAATCTTGAATTACTAATATATACTATTATTTAACTTGGTAATTGTATAAAGAAGAATGAGCTGTATCGCTTCTTGGAATTTGCGTATAGTATGTAAGCGGATTTAGGTTATATTATATTGATAAGGACCCAAAAATAGGGATCGAAACGTATATTTAATTAATTTTTGATATGACTTGTTTAATTACACGAAAATAAATTGTACATCCGATTAACTGATGTTTGACTTTGATGGGCTTGCTTATTATTATTATTATTGATAGATTCTTTCAAGCCTTTTTTTAGATATTTGTTAATATATACTATATATGTACTTGCATATATACCATATTGTGGTCTTTTTCTAACTGCGCGCCGAATTGGTTTTCCGGACTAAATAAACGCAATTAAAACTACTCTAATATTTTTTTTCGCGAATTAAATTGACAAGCAATTTTAATAATTTGATGCTACCATCAAGCATCATATATTATAAAGATGTTAATATATTAAAACTGTTAATAAATTTATTGCGAAAAATATTACCTCGGCCGGGACTTGAACCCGGATCTTTTGTAAACCGTCCTGAGCCATTAGACTACCGAGGCAAATTTTTAATTATTAAATTATATTAAATTACATTAAATATTAAATCTCGTGAAACCATACATGTGAGAACACAACCAATAAAAAATAAATGCCTTTGACGGTATAAGTTACACTTTATCTACTAGAATAGCTACAACTTACAACTTATCTACTAGAATAGATTGATATATAAAAATATATCAATCAGCAATTCAATCCTAGAAATAAATAATAATTTATTTATTTCTAAGATTGAGTTGCTGATTGATATATTTTTTCGATTGCCATCTCACGTTTGTTATACAACTTATTAAGAAACATGGATACTCTAGTATTATGCGTAATTGGTTTCAAACTGTTTCTATTTTTCTGCAAGTTAGGATAACATCTCTGATAATAAAAAATTGCACTAGCAAAATTCCATGGACTTAATTCAGGCCATAATACTTCGGCAAAGTAAATACAAGTATGGGAAATCTAAAAGAAATTTAGATAAAATTTTGAAATGCATAGTTCTGCTTTGATTACAAGTAGATAGATTTAAACCACAAAAATTAAATACGTTTTCTTACTTGCCACATAAGGAAATCGCTAAGTCGAGTTTCTCCGGAAGTACGAATTAATAAATCTGGATTTGGAGACTTGTAAGTGTACAAACAATCAGTAATCAGAGCTTCGTTAATATCTTCAGGTAAAATATCATTATCCTTTACACCTTGTACTGTATCCCTAATCGCATGAGTAATTTCATCCCTTGCTATAGCGATATTAAAAAATATAAAAATTATATATGCATGTGTGCATGTGTGTGTATATATATTTTTAAATTATATAAAATATTAAACATTTATTTATATATACGTCACGAAACTAATTGTCCAGAGAGAGTATATGCACCGATATATCAATAATCTTTTTAAATCGGTTTAGACTGTGTTCTGGGTGCACACTGTTAGCACTATTGCATCTTTCTATCTTAATTGTTTATGAGACATAAAATAAGATGATGACATAAAACAGGATGATGCGATAGCGCTGATAGCGCACTTCCTAAACGCAAGCTTAGTGTAATATATAAAATCAAGTGTAAACGTAAATATAGTTCATTGTAATTATACTTACATGTATAAGCAATAGCAAAATTAATAAATATTCTATTATTTTCCCTAGTAATAATCATAACTTCAGCCATTAATTTACATAAATCTTCTGGTATCAGAGACCAATTACCAATCACACGAATGCATTTTCCATCGTCCTTTAATTTTTTCCTGAAAATTGTTTATATAAATTTGTAATAACAAAATCTATATTGTGCTGAAATGTAATACCTGATTTAAAAAAATCTAAATGTCACACATACTTGTCTTCTAAGAAACTCTTGAACATCTGCCTGGCAAGGTCCATGAGATTATCAACTTCTTCTTTGCTACGTTTAAAGTTCTCTATACTAAATGCATAAACTGTGACTTCTACAATACCGAGAAACGAGCACCAGTTTAACATCTCATTCATTTTGTCTAACCTGTCGTAAATAAAATATGAGGCAAATAAACATCCAGCCAGTGTGTCTGCAAATTGTCTTTAAAAATGCATACCCTTTAGAGTGTCCCTCCTCTTTCCTCAAGTCTTGTCTATTTGCATAACGTCTGTTACCATCCATGATAACTGCCACGTGTTTAGGAATTTCGCCAGTCTTAATGACCTTTAAAGCCAAAAATTGAAACCAGTTCAAAATGCGTTCCTTTAGCCACGACATTTTATTTCAAATTTCACGTTCGGGCGTACGAAAACGTACAATCTGCAATCAACTGATTCTCTTCAATGTTTCAAAAGTTTTTGTCACATTCACTATCCAATACTTGTCGACGAACACGGTATATATACTACTCATTAGCATGAAAGACGATATCATCCCGGTGAAAAATTTTTCATGCACGAATATATATAAATAGAAACTAGAAATATAAACACGCATAAATATTCATAAACATGTATGGTAATTATATACGAAATATGTCCATACATGTTCGTACACTTTCTTTTATAAAATTATTTTTAGTATAATAGAATAATACCCGGTAAACAATTTTTTATGCGTGAATATGTATAAATGTGTATCAACATACGTAAACATTCATAAACATATGTATAATTATATATGCAATATGTCCATACATGTTCATACATTCTACTTTCTTTCATAAAATTACTATTTAGGGCCGGTTGTTCCATCTTTTGATAAATTTTATCTGTGAGGTAAATCTGGTAATCCGCGCAAGTGATTGGGTAATCTTACTACTTACCCAACAGGTAAAATTTACCAAAAGAATAACTGGCCCTTAGTGTATTAAAAATAATAATAGTAATGTGGAAACATAAAAAATAATTAAAGGGATAATTTTCGCATTGTTTTAGAATTAGAAAAAGACAAGTTTAGAAAAATAAAAAAAAAATTGCTTATACATTTTATATATAATTATACATAAATAATTTTTTTACATTTCTTCAAACTTGATTTTTTCTAAAATAAATAGTGCGAAAATTACCTTTATAATTCTTTTTTATGTTTTCACATTACTATTATTATTTCGATTACATCAAAAAGTAATTTTATATAAAAGAAAAAAGGATGTATGTATGAACATGTATGGACATATTTCATATATAATTATATATGTTTATGGATATTTATACGTGTTTATGTATATTTACACATATTTATATATATTCATGCATGAAAAATTTTTTATCGGGTAGTAATATGAAAACATAAAAAAATAATTAAAGAGATATATAAAGATTATGCGTTTCGCGGATTTTCTCCGTGTTGAGATCCATTCTTGGAATGCTAACGTTTCGTGAACCTTGCAGTCTACTTCATCAGGGCGAGGAGCCTGATACTGAACTGTTCCTCCGGGCCGGTCCTTTTTATGCTGCTTGTTGGAATGGTGAGAGAGAAAAAAAAATTGTGATTGCGGGGGAGAGGTGGGGGAAATTGGTCGGTCTTCAATAACCGGGAGAATGGTCTTCCATGTTTTATTTATGTTGTAGTCATTATCTCTATTTAGATTGTTAGGGTGTTTTTGTATCTCTATGGCTTCTCTATACTTTCTTGGAAAGTATGATGTAATGTTGGCTATCGTGGTTGTTTTGTCAAATAGTATTTGATGTTTTGTTTTAATGTGATGTTCTGACAATGCCGTCTGCGTAGCGTGTTTTAGCCTGACATCACGTTGGTGTTCTTTTATATATGTAGGTTGATCATTCTCCCGGTTTCTCCAATGTATTTGTAAGTTGTAGCTATTCCCATAACGTTTGTTACCAGGATTGGGAAAGTTACTTTTTAAAAGTAACGCGTTACCGATACTTAAAAGTAATGATAAAAAATCGTTAGTTTTTTTTGTAAACAAAATTTTGTAAAGTTTTTTTTTGTAATGTGTCGCGCGCGGAGCACCACTGTGTGCTAGACAGTCGAACGCTCGCGAGACTATTCGAGGTCGCACATGGTTTCTCTCATCACAGGTGTTACATCATCTCGAACATATTTTTGAAAAGTCTTACCGGCTTCGACAGTGCCATTGCATTGCATTATTCAAAATTCCTTCATTCGTCTTGACGGCCTTGGTAGTGCGGCGCGGAAGCATCGTTGCAGCAGACGTCTTAAGGCGTCTATTGTTGAGGGGATGAGGGGGACCTGCCATTCTCGTTTTTTACATTATCTTTTTAATACTTGTTCCTTCAAGGTGGCCGGTTCCTTGCATTCAATTTACCTTTGTTTAATGGCCAAGTCCAGCCAGGTCGCCAGATCAATTAAAGAGAAGAAAAAGAAAAGAAGAATCAAATGGCGGTCTGGCGAAACTGGTAGTTATACATTCAAGCACGAGCCCATATACGTGTGCTCGCCTTCGGCGGTCCCCGGCATCAATAAGGGACGAGGGGCATTCTGAATAACACATAAGTTTTAATAAATTGTAGTAATATATATATATATATAGTATACCCCTCTCATTAATCCAGAATAGTATAAATCATGTTAAAACTCAACAGTTTGCGAGATATTTAATTGTTTACGATTTTTCATGCGCGTTATA